CCAGAAAAAAACCAGCAAATTCTGCTACTGATGTGGTACCTGGTGCTTTTTATTAGCTTTTTCAATCATTGTCTGGAAAAAAACCTCTAGAATAACATTATTAAAAACAGCTCCAGTATAGCACAGTCACTACTACATATCATAAGCAAGTACAGGATATCTTACATTCACAGAAGTATCATACAGTACTGTCCTACAGCTAGAATACTAGAGGATACAATTAAAAAGGCATTTATTTGACTTGATTCTACTTTTCCAGCACATTGTGGGCAAGGAGGTGGTGCGACGCAGCTCTGATAGAAAGAATGCACCTTTGAGATAGAACTCTCGTTCGTCCTTTAAGGTTTCTTTTATTCTCGTGGCACAGGTTAAGTGCTCGTTGCCATATACAGAAACTGGAAACCGTTTAGAGACCACTCACTCGCATCATAGAACACAGCTGGACAGGGGTGAACAGAACAAACCTGACTATTGATGCAACGAACCTTCCAACTCCAGAGGTGAGCCACGGAGGGGGCGGCGCGTGGACAGACACGGGTGGCCGAGTAGCGCTTTCATATGTGATCTAAATGCAGTATATTGTCATCCAAGAAGCAGCAGCCAGCAAAGCACTGCCTTCAGAGGGGAATCCAACACCACCAGCCTCACCCTGTGTCACCACCTTAGGTCAGACCTCACGTGGCAAAGGCAATTTTGCCAGCTCTACGGATCCCTCTGTTCGTTACAAGGTAAGAGCTTCTTAAGTCACTAAAAAAAACTTAACACACATTACTTGGCCCAGCACCATCTTCAGATCTGCACGTTCTCATACTCATGGGTTTATAAAAAGATAAATAGCAGCTGAAGATCAGAGCCTGAAGAAGATAAAGAGAATTCATCGTGTCAGCTAGGAACATGCCTCCCCCACCACCTGCTCCCCTGCCGGTGCTACTCTCCATTTTTCCACTCTGGGAAGCACACAGGTGTGTAAGCCAAAACACGCACACGTGTGGAACGTGCACACACCAAAAGCAGCCTTCATGCTGTTAGAGAAGATACAAGCCCAAAGAGCCCAGAAGCTCAGCTGGATACACAGCAGTTTGCACCTGTCACTGCTGATGGCTTCTATGTCCCTTTCGGCCGTGAGCGCCGGCAGGGAGAGCAGGCTGTGGGCTCCTCCTTCGGGCTACGAATTCATGCTGCTGACACCTCGCCCACCCTCCCCTCGTCCCCCCCTCCACGGGAACGCAGCTCTAAGATTTAGTCTCCTCGGTTTTGATTGCCTGAGGTTTGATTGGTCCAGTTCTAACAGGTTTGGGGGCGGCAGCAGGCGCAGGGGTTGGCTTCTCCTCGGCTTTGTCCTGGCAGACTCCTGAAGAGTCAGCGATCGCCTCGGTGGGTTTGCTCCCGTTCTCCTCCACCTTCTGGGCTTTGCCTCCTATGGGTTTGCTCTGCTGCTGCTGCTGCTCAGAAAAGAATCTCTGGGTAGACTGAAGTACCTCTGCTCTCTGCTTTGCCTTAAGAGAGGGAGAAAATAAGTTTACTGAGGAGAAGGCATCGTAGTAAGAGTGACTTCACGCAAGTATTTCCTAAACGAAAGGGGAAGGACTGACCACAGTGGCCAGGCTTTCCTAGAAAGGCAGTGTCCATCCAGTTGCTTCCCAGATGTCACCACATCTGGGTGCTTGGCTCCTCAGCACTAGCTTAACTTCATGCCTAAGCTTCCCTCACTCTTCCTAATCCTCCCCCCAGAAAAGAGGATCAAGGACGACGGTTCGAAGCATTATCTAACATCTTTTTATGCCACTATTATTGCAGAGCTTTAGAGTACAAACACTGCTGACAGCAGGCTCAAACTGCAGCTTCCCTGCTCAGCACAAGTCAGACATGCCCAGAGGCAGGTGTGTCTGCACAGCACTCCCCTGGCACCCAGGGCCACGCTGGCTGGCACTCCTCCCGCAGCGCAGGGACCACCACAGCAGCACAACCTGCTCTGAGCACACAGCTGTTTCCCCCTGTGACTGCACACAGACTCCAGAGTCTGCAATGGGGATGCAAGAGAAGCAGCTTCAGGGCTGTGTTATGTAAGCTGAAGCCTTATTTGCTTCACACTCCAAGCAGGCACTCATGCCAGGCAGCACAAATTGCTGCCCCCTTCAAATCCTTCTTCTGAATCCTACCAGTAACCCTGACTTGCACTTGTGACACGTCCCAGTTTGACACTGGGCCTCTCACTTGTCCTAAAACACTCTGCAGACCACACTTCAGAGCAAGCACTTGGCTTTCCTGCCCAGACTCAGGCAAAGCAGGAGCTCCATTAAGAGTTCAATCTTTTGGAAACTGCACATTTAAGCCCAATGCAGTCAAACACCTTTTTTAAATGAAAAAGGTGTATCTTACCACAAGGAACCCCAACCACAACTCAGGCACTAACCCTCCATGTACCTCTCCCAATATTTTATGCTTTTTTTACAGAAAACAGAGCTGGGCCACACACACAACACCACAGGGGACAAAACAACCAAAGCCTAGAACAAGAGGCCTTGGCTCTCATACTCTGCAGTTGCTCCAAGTAACTCAAGCAGCAACAGAACAGAAAACCAACCTGTGAACTCTGGTGTGGCAGGACTACAGCAACAGCAGATTTTACTGGAGCCAGATGGACACCTGAAATCTTTTGCCCAGATTTCAGCCATCCCCTGAGGTTAAGGCTGGATGACCTCATCACAAGTAACCAAGTGTGACAGAGCAACTCCCATTCCTCTGAGCAGTGTTTGCAGGGAGGTTCAGCAAACCAGGGCTGGTGATCAGTACTTGCTGTGACTGGCTAGATTCAATTCACAGCACAGATTCATTACAACATACTGAGCATGAGCTGCTAAGTCTACAGCTTTCAAAAACTGTTGCAGAAAACTAAATGGACCAACCACATAGAATACAGTGGGTAATCAATTCTCCTACAGCTATGCACATCCAGGAACAACACACTCTCTTGCTTCTCCACCTCAATGCATGGGTTACAGTGAATGACAGCAGATGAAGGAGCTCCTAAGTCCCATCTATTCAAGCAACTTATTCTGCAGCAAACAGGCTAAGAGTCCAACAGTGTCTCTACACAGACATCCCACACTCAGTCCTGCCTTGGGAAGAAGAGTTTGCCTTGACCTGAAGGGTCCCAAAGTGCTGTAACAAGTTGGATGACTGTCATCACCTGCTACTGAAATGCAGCCCCTTCTGTGGAGTGGACCATGTACTGCATCAACCACAGGCATTTCAAACCACTGAGAAATGACTCTCCAGAGTCACCAACGAGTGATGTTGGCTGGAACAGGAGGGTTCACACTGCTGCTCAGGGCTGGGGATGCAGATGTGGGATGACAGCTAACAGCCAGGTGTGTAAGCTTCATCACTCGTTGAAAAAAATCCAGGCTCTTGACACCTAGCTGCCAGATTGCCCTGGACAGCAGTGGCAGCTTCACAACTGCTGACCACGAGACCACCTGAGAAAGAAAGCTCCCTACAAGTATTTGAGTCTCAAGCTCTTATCAAAAACCAACAGGGCTTAGAGGAGGTCTGTGTTCAGCTGTTACAGGCCCAGCTACCAGCTCTGGGTCCAGAGGCATGTTACCTAAGCCATGATTTGCAGACACATCCCTGCCCTACAAGCTGTCAGGACTGAACTGGTGTTAACAGCACTGCTCTTCAAATACTAACCTTCGTGTCTCGTTCAGCCTTCAGCGCAGCCTGGGCCTGATTGCCTCTGGCTCCAGATACTGATCCACAAGGACCTCTGGCCACACGTGGTAACTGAGGGTGGCTCATAAGGCCTGTGGTCATCTGAGACGGCATCTGACTAGGCAGTACTACTGGCAGCCTCTGAACAGGCGCTGGGAAGGTGTTAGTATATGGGGCTCTTACCAATGGAGGGAGCAGGTTAGGCTGAGAGAGGATCTAAGGGGGGGAAAAAAACAACAAAAAGAGACATTTCTCAATTAGAAAATTGCCAACTAGATGGCACGTTGGCATTATCTTAAAGGGGAAAAAGTTGCTACACTGCTATGAAACCAATGTCAGGAAAATGAGATTTTATGTTAAGAGTAGCCATGCTGGAACTCCAAGAAAAAAACAGCCCTATAATGCTGCTGTGCCTGAAAGGAGTACCAAGAGCTTCAACCTAGCATGTCAGAATGGAGAAGACCCTGGCAAAGGCAGTGGAGCAGTCACTAGTCAAAGGCAGCCCTGGAGAGACTGAGATAGTTTCTGCTAGTGGCAATACAAAAATCAAATCTCAGGCCCTGCAGTCAAACACTCCAAATGCTAAAAGAAAGATAGAAATATCCTACCTTTTTAGAGAGGCTACATTTCCCTAGCAGCCTGGTTACAGCCACCTGTACACCAGGGATGCACCACCCTTGTAAGCTGTGCTCCCTGGAATGCCAGAGCTAATCAAACCCTTTGCCATCAGCCCTGCCTTGTATGGACTGTATGACCTCAGAGATCCTTTCCAGCCTTAACTGCTCCTTCAGTACTTCAGAGCTGCAAATCTGCTTTGTCTTGAAACATTTTACATATGCACTGGGACCCTTCTAAGACACAAAGCTTCTCCCCTTCCCCAGCCAAATGACCAGTTTTTGCAGGACGAGGGGATCACAGCTGCCTGAACACTGTCTGCTCTCCATCATCCACAACCTGGATTCAGTTCCTCAGTGTGCACAAAACTCAAAATTAACCACCAAAAATCAGCACTAGTTAGAGCAAGATCAGAGAGGTATTTTTTTTTTTGCTTTTATGCCATTTCATTTTAAGGATTCCATTTTGTATCTCCCCATCATAAAGCCTGAGGAAACAAGTTAGAGAGTCACCCAGTCATACAGAGAAACAGTTTCTTTGCAGGAAGCCACCATTCACCTACCTGTGGTGCAAATTGTGCAGGAAATGGCTGTGTCATTCTCACAGCTGCAGCTGCTGACTGGAACTGCTTCTGGTAGACAATGCTGTTCATTTTATTGGACTGATTGTTAGGACTTGTAGAACTGGCCCTAAAGGAAAGCACACCAGTCAAAAATCACACTGCTCTCATTCAGAGCATGTTTCTGCCTTTAGTTATAACTTAAATAGAAATTCAGCACTGGAGGGAGGAAGAAAATAAATGTCTTGGAGAAACTAGTGTCAGATATTCTTCTATAATGCAAACAAACTCAGAACTTCAGAATACAAACAGAAACTGTAATCAGAAACATTTAGGACATGGGAAGATTCCAGGTTATGTCTGTATGAAGACCTTTCCCCAAAGTAACACAAACACTGATGGTAGGAGTGCATTCCCCTTCCTATTCCTATCTTACGCTCAGTCCTGCCCCTTTACACAGTTTGCTCTGTCCTGTCAAGCTCAGAGCTTGTCACAACAGGCAGTAAACATGTGCAGCTGCTTCCACTCCGACCTGCTGTCAAATGATTCAAACTGCACTTGAACAGATTCCAAGAATTCACAGAAAACACTCTCCCCCCTGCTTTATTTGGCTAAGAACATGACCCTCCATTAAAACCTTCAAGAGGTGTTCAATCACCATGAATTACATCAAGCCTGAGAGATTATCTGGGGGCAGGGCAGCAAACAGCCCTCAGAGTGAAAGAAAAGAGTGAACAGCCTTCTTCAGGAAAAACAGCTTGACTTGGAGAGAGTTCTCCTGCAGAGTGTGTAGGTGATGCACTCAGTGTAGAATGAGCAGCAGGGCACCAGTGGCAAACAGCTAAGCTCCACACACACCAACATTTTGTAAGCTTAAAAAAGGAGTCCCTGTTTAGCTTTCACTTAGAACTCCAGAGATCTGCTATGCTTTTGCTGATCTTCCCAGCGCTGTTACAGTTAGGAGCCAAGGCTGATGTACAGCCCTTCTTTGGCTGCTGGCAGAAGGGACACCTCATGTGTAATCTCTCAGGTATACACCAGCCAGTCAACTGTGCTCAGTGCTGACCAGTTCCAGTTTCAAGTTCCTTCAGCCTCCGATATCTATGGTAAACAGATGTACCATGAAGTGAATCTGCATTTGAGCAAAACTCTTAATTCTGTCAATTAACCAAGCAAACCTGTAAGCAGCTCACAAATTTCTCGTGAGCAGCTTACAGATCTTGCAACAACCCTTATTCCTCTAACAGAATCGTTGCCACAACTGCAGTGTAAGCCTGTCAGTGCTTTTACTTTGAACACCACAATCAAGACCAACTGTCTGAAGAGTTTTATCCCACAGTACATCTTCCCTGACACTTCTGTTCCTCAGGTGATTTCACAGGACTTGTTTAGTTTCATTTAGTCAGAAAATATTTTGTACATTTTATTTCAGAGCTCTATACTTCTAACTACAGCAGATGTGATGACCTACTGGAATGCTGCTTGGAAGCTGAGATTAAGCACTGCATTTTACACCAGTGGCCTCTCTCCTCATACCTTTCAGAACTGGCTGCTCATGCATGACTAGGTACATTTCCTAGCTCTGATTTCAAGGAATTTTGAGCTTAAGGCAGATTTACCGGAAGGGACTGGAGGTTGGAGTAGTACTTCTACCAGTGACTGGTGGTGTTCCAGGTTTAACATCAATGCCACCTCCAAAGGCCTTCAGGTCCATTTCTGAAATCTGAAAAACAGAGTGATGGACGTGTTAATTCTCATTAAAAAAATTACATTTGCTAGGCAGTTGTTAGCTTACCTCAGTCAAAAGAGGTCACTTAAGTGCAGATGAAAGTCTGACTGCAGAATGGCTCCTTATAATGAGGACAAGCCCAGCACCACAAGCACCTCTGTGTACAATGTTCCTGCACTACCTGGCACTTGCATCCCTGGCATTGGCTTTCTAACCTGATCCTCTCCTGTATAATGAAAGGGGATTTGAGATACATTTCATGTATTTGGCTCTAAAAAAATGTCTTGGAGTTAAAATCTCCTTTCCCATCTCAGGTACCACATAAAAACCATTTAGATATAATCTTGAGGAATGTCATAAAATAGTCCAGTTCTATTAAAAAAAACCCCAAAAGCACAGCAAAAATGGAGCTGTCATTCCTGCAGAAAGATCTCCAGACTAACTGGAACAATGAATCTTGCATGCTATTTCAGAGACACAGTCAACAGAATAGATTAGTCTCTGGAACAGGGTATTTCCACACAGCCATGAAGCAGAACAGCAACAATAAATCAGTTAAAAGTGAGTGGCTGGTTTAAGTTGACTCTCTTCAGCAGGGAAACAA